GGAATCAGTTTAGCATGAGTAATCTATTTCAAAGCCCTCAAAAATAAGCCCCAACCCCCAGGCGCCAAGCCCCGCCTCCAGAAGGCCGGACACCTTTCGGGTCGCCAGCACCAGCTGTCGGTAGTCGTCCTACTCCAGCCGGAAGATGTCGCTGGACAGGGGCTTCTGCGGAACCAGGACGGTGAGTCCGGGCGTGTTGGGAAACGGCGTGAGGAAGGCCACGTGACCGTCGTCTTCCCAGACTCTCCACTGCTTCTCTTCTCCGTGCACGATACGTGGGAACAGTCCGGGGTCGGACGGATCGCCCAGGAAGGCGTCGTTCGGAGCTGCGCTCGGGTCGGGCAGCTGAGCCCGGATTCGGCTCCTGACGGCCTCTAGATCGGTGTCTGTCCAGCGCGGTCCGCTCTTGGAACTGACATATCCAGGGTCATACGCCTGGAAATCTTCCTCGGCTGCGAGGCGAGGTTTCCACTCCAACTCTAGACCGTGGAGCGGCACGACGTGGAGTTCGGCTCCGGTCCGTCTCTGTGGCGTATGGACCAATGCGCAGCGTTGAACCGGCAGACTCTCGCAAAGCAAGTGCGCGACGGATCTTGCGCCCAGAAGCAGAAACACTTCCTCAGGTAAGTGGAAGAGGCTGGCGGTGCTGCTGAAGCTCTTCTGGGTGATGACAGCGACCCCTGGAGTCCACGGGGAGGAGTGCAGATGCGCAGACATCATTCCGATGGAAGCAAGAAGTGTCCATGTAAACGTACCTATTGAGACACTTGAAATGTATTGAAATGCCTTCTTTTGTGTTCCACAGAATAAGGAAAGTCCAACATAAAGGCGAGTAAATAATAACAGAAAGATCAATTCTGGTTGAATTGTCCCTTCAATGCATATACACCAGTGCTCAAACGTTTGGGATCAGTGTTATTGTAGAAGCCCGTCCACACGGAGACGTGTACATTTTGTATCGTATCAGCGTTTAGTCCAGACGGATCCGGCGTTTTGGGAGGCTGAAACCGGGTCCCAGAGTGGATAAATCTGAAAACGAAACCCTTGCGTTTTCGTGTGTTCAGCCAATCCGTGTATTTTGTGAAACGATGATGTCATCACCCCACGTCTCGACCGCTACGTCACATAACAACAACAACAACAACAACAACAACGGCGGACTACATGCTTGTGTTCGTGCTGCAGAAGCTACTGAGCCTACTTTACTAAAGCAAAAATGTTTGTATACAGCACGCAAGGTTTATGCGTATGCTCCAAGTCTTCTTCTCTGCTTTCAAGGCCCCTGATATACGACAGGCGAAATTGCAGAACGAACTGATGTGACGTAATTTCGAACAAAATCCAGCCAAAACTAAGCTTGTTTTGAGAGTTCGAAACTGCTTGCCAAAGCTAAATTTCCGGAAAAGTTCGTTCTGTCTGCAAAACACCTTCGTACTAGCATTGGTCCGTGACGATTACATCATAGGAGGTGTGCGCTGAGGCTCCGCCTTCTTCCACACGAAACTCTTCTCTGGGTTCGTTTCGCCTGTCGAGTCCGCAGAGCAGTGACTTCACGGGAGTGCTAATTTGTAGAGCTCGTGCAAACATACCCATGTTGCTATGATCAGAATTTTATTAAAAAATGCTTGTTGTTCTCTTCATTTTTGTCGTGTTTTAAACGCTCAGCACACACTTACATATTCATATAAACGTCGCTTTCATCAGAGTGGGCGTCGTCGGGATGTTCGATAACAGTATACTGCTGCTCACGTATTTCGAACTTCATTTTACCCCTAAACGAAGAACCAAATTGAACTTAGTTTTTATGTATATCCGGGCCTTTAGTGTATCTCTGTGGCAGAATTACAGCGCCACATGCTGGTCTGGCATGTATACTACATCGTTTTGAGTCAGTTTCAGTGGTTTCGTGTGTATGCAAATAATTCTTGAGACGACGCTGTGTTTATGGAATATTTTTTTAGAACGAGGATAAAAAAAGTTTGGATAGGGAAAACGCTCTGGTTTGTGTCGATGTGGCCTTAGTGTGTTTTAAAGAAGTCTCTTCTGCTCACCAGGGCTGAACTTATTCGATCAAAAATACAATAAAATGTGAAATATTATTGCAATGTAATACAGCTGTTTTCTGTGTGAATATCTGTTAAACTGTAATGTATTTCTGTGATGCGCAGCTGTATTTTCAGCATCATTCCTCCAGTCTTCAGTGTCACATGATCTTCAGAAATCAGTATAATATGCTGATCTGCTGCTCGAGAAACATTTCTGATTATTATCAATGCTGAATAAACTGTGATACATTTTGGAGTAAGATTTTTTTTCTTCAATAAATTAATACTTTTTTTTCATCAAGGATGCATTAAATTGATCAAAAGTAACAGTAAAGACATGTATAATATTACAAAATATTTCTATTTCAAATAAATGCTGTTCTTTTGAACTTTCTATTCATCTGTGAATCCTGAAAAATAAAATGCATGGTTACACAAACTTTTCACCATCATCTTCCTCCAGAGCGGACGCGCAGTGACTCTCATCAGAGGAAGAATAATCACAGTCCCTCAATTGCAGAGAAAAGCTCAATCATTTGCGAGAAAATCTGAACATTTCAGAGATCACGCTCACCGGACGTCCGCGTGACAAACTCATCAGCATCAGCGCCGCCTGCTGGCCGGAAGCGGAACTGCGCTGTGATCTGCGTGTCGTCCAGCAGGTGGCGCCAGATCTTCCTCTCCTTTAATACGAAAATCTCTTCCTGTTCAAACACTCTGGCTGCCGTGTTCTGTTCTCATGTAAACCTGTGTAGTGTTGCTTTAACAGACAGCAAAACAATAATAAAACAACTTAATTCAGTCACTGAAATAGACATAATGGTCTTTCTGTTCATGCAGCTCTTGTTTGTGTGAGTTATTATTATTAATAGTGAGTAAGGTAACCCATGAGTTCCTGGTGTTTGTCTGAACCGGTCTGATCCGGTCTGAACCACACAGCAAACACACCCAGGAGTGAATCACACACTGCCTAATGTCTCTCTCTCAGTTTTCAGTTCAATTCCATTTAAATAGCTTTATTGGCATGACAAAAATACATTTTGTATTGCCAAAGCATGAACACAAAAAAGAAAATGGTTTATAAAATCTGAACATTTATTTATTTATATATTATAACTAATATGTTACTAAAAAGGAAATGCCATATATATACACACAGATACGTATAGGAAGATACATAAATAAATAAAATAAAAAATAAAAATACGATAAAAAATAATTATATATCTCTAAGTCAGCTGTAATTGTGCTTTATTGGCTTAACAAATGTCTTTAATACGAAAATCTCTTCCTGTTCAAACACTCTGGCTGCCGTGTTCTGTTCTCATGTAAACCTGTGTAGTGTTGCTTTAACAGACAGCAAAACAATAATAAAACAACTTAATTCAGTCACTGAAATAGACATAATGGTCTTTCTGTTCATGCAGCTCTTGTTTGTGTGAGTTATTATTATTAATAGTGAGTAAGGTAACCCATGAGTTCCTGGTGTTTGTCTGAACCGGTCTGATCCGGTCTGAACCACACAGCAAACACACCCAGGAGTGAATCACACACTGCCTAATGTCTCTCTCTGTTTTCAGTTCAATTCCATTTAAATAGCTTTATTGGCATGACAAAAAAATACATTTTGTATTGCCAAAGCATGAACACAAAAAAGAAAATGGTTTATAAAATCTGAACATTTATTTATTTATATATTATAACTAATATGTTACTAAAAAGGAAATGCCATATATATACACACAGATACGTATAGGAAGATACATAAATAAATAAAATAAAAAATAAAAATACGATAAAAAATAATTATATATCTCTAAGTCAGCTGTAATTGTGCTTTATTGGCTTAACAAATGTTACAATCACATTGTCAAAGCACTTACTCAGTTTCATACAAATAAAATAGTGATACACACACACACACACACACACACACACACACACGCACACACACACACACACACTCT